GACCAAAATCTCTGAGGAATGTTTCCAACACCTTGATGAATCTACACCACAAAAAATTAATTTAGTTCTGAAGGCATAAGGGGGGCAAGATGTACCTAATAAAGTGGCTGATGAGTGTATACTGTAAATTCACATCAGTACCTAACCCTCATAAAGTGTACAATGTAAGGTCCCTAACGCACATTCATACATACACACACTAGGCCCAATTTAGACAGGAGCCAATTAGCCTGCCAGCATGTCTTTATAGTGTGGGAGGAAATTGGAATACCCGGAGGAAATCCACGCAGCCACAGGGAGAACATGCAAACTCCAGGCAGGTGGAGTCGTGGCTGGGATTTGAACCAACAGACCTACCACTGCCAGGCAGAAGTGCTAACCATTTAGTCACTGTGCTGCCCACAGTGCAAAAACACAAGGAACAATAATGTCCAGCTTAGTTTTTGCAGCCGTTAGGATTGATTAGTTTAAAATAGACAAGAAAAATGTTTTCTTTTTAATTAAACTACCACTAATGTATAGCTATAAATATATGTTTCTGTGAGTTATAAAACAGCAGCATCACTTTGCAAGCTTTGCCTTTGGCTTTTACACCTTTTACATACAGTATGTAAGTACTGTCAGTGCATTAACAGATGTGAGCAACAAGTGGACCAAACATAACTGTATAATAGAGCTGCCATATCAAAACAAATCTGTCCACTCAATCCAATTGTCAGGTGTCCATATTTTTTAGCAGAATTGTAAATATAGGAATTTTTTTCCACACTGTGAAAATGTGCACAATTGCCAACTAAGGATCAGGTTTGGGTTTCCCTGGGCTCATAAATCGTGAGCATTTGGCCAAAAACATTTCAGGTTTGTTGCCAGAAATAAGAGACACCTGTAATGCAATGCATAGACTTTGTACCTACTAAGCTACAGCTGGCCAGGGATGGATCAAAATTTAGCTGGTCCAGCAAAGATGGGGTGGATTTCAATTGGTGTAAGACTTTCCCTGCTTGACAAAATCAGTGCTTTGATCAACTTCTGTCAAAAGGACATGTTGGAAAACTTGACGATCAGCAGCTGCAGCCAATCAATCCGTGTATTCTAACAGCAGTGAGTCCAGCTATCAGGATACAATATCACAGCCTGGAGGGTATTTCTCCACACTCTGCGCTTGTATGGATGGAGGAATCTGTTTGTTTTTTTCATTCAACCCGTTAGATAAAAGAAAAAAACTACCCGTCTGTGGCCTGTTTAAAACACAAAAGCTAAAAATCTGAAGGAAGGCATAACCCAGCCCTTTTACTTATAAGCTTACAGCAGCCATATTGTTAGTGTGTTTTTTAAACTGTTAGAGAAATCTGACAGAGAAAGATACTGTAGCTTGCAGTGATTAGCTACATACAGTAGCCTTTGATATACACCTTGTGTTTATAGGTCTGTAGATCCAGATCTTAATTGTTAAACTATCATTTGCTGGACTTTTGTACAGACCCGGAGGGCAGGTACCTATTCATGAAACTTACTCTGAGCTGTACAACTTACATACTGGCTAATTTTTATGTGCCCAAACAGGACCATATTACCTAATTTACTCTCTACCTCCATACCCTCATGGGTTTTGCAGAGGGAATAGTCCTCCAAGCTGGAGACATCAATTGTTCTCTTAACCCTGTGATTGACAGTTAGGAGTTCTCTTATTCACAAATTATCAAAGTGAAAAAGCTCCTTTTGCAATATCACAGGGTGGATGTCTGGAGGATACTTTGCCCAACAGATAGAGACTATACCTACTATTCTACAGTCCATGACTCCTATTCCCGTATAGATTTTTTTCCTTGTTATTCAATTTAGTCATCCGCAGAGTACCATCAACAAAGTGGTCTGATCCAGTATTCTTTTTCCTCTCTCTACCAGACCTATTCCATCAGGAATGGACTTGACGATTAGACGATTCTCTCCTTCAGGATGACCTTTGTATAACTAAAATCAGAGAGACAATCTCTCATTTTATCTCTGACCGTTAAAGTGACATTATCCCCCTTCCCATCCAGTGGGAAACACTGAAGTGATTCGTGTTAACTTAGAGACTTAACTTTTCGTATTACCCAACTCAAATTATACCATAAACGTGCTCAAACTCAGACTACTATGCTTCAATTGTCAGAAACTAGACTTCAACAGAAAGTCAATCAAAGACAGACAAAGACAGATTGCGAAAGCTGTTTCATGGTGAGGGTAACAAATGTGGTAGATTGCTAGCTAGAGCCCTACATGCCAAAAACTGGAATGCCACAAGACACTCTCCTGGATTAAATTAACAATTACATTTCTAGAACAGCTCTAGGGCTCTCAGACCTATAACTCCCTCCCATTTACAGGACCTTGAAAAAACATTTTTCAATGTTTTTCAGTTGCCTCCCTCAAACCCAACAAGAGCCCTGGTTCGGATGGGTATGCTGCCCAATTCTATACATTTTTCCGGGGGTCTCTGCTTCTAAGTTTAACACCCCAGGCCCTAGCGGTGCACATAACTGTTCTGTCCAATCTGATCAAAGATCCATTGTTATGCAGTAGCTACCACCTCATCTCCTTGACCAGTATTGACATCTGTCTGTTTTCCAAAATAATAGCTAACCTTTGACCCGTTAATCCCTGACTTGATCCATCTTGATCAGGTTGGCTTCACCAACATATACCAGCCTGCTTAATCTAGGCAGATGCCCAAAAGGGTTCGACTAGGTTCATTGGGATTTCCTGAGGCTTACCCTCCAGCAAGTGGGCCTTGTACCCAATCTCTTATATAAAATACTGGCCCTTTATAGTTATTCATCTGCAAGGGTTCGTTCCAATGGTATCATCTCAGACCCTATTTGAATCAAATAATGGTATCAGACAGGGTTGTCCCCTTTCTCCTTTATTTCAGATCATTAACATGAAACACCTGGCCATAGCCATCTGTCAAAATCTGGAATGTCAAAGGATTATTGTGAGTGGACGCCACTACAAATTGTCATTATATGCTGTATTCTGCTATATGTTTTTGGTAAAAATAACCCAAATCAGTGTATAATATTTAGCCTGTGTGAAAGCTATAGGGTCTACAAACTATGGTATATACAGTATACTTGAAAATTGACCAATTCTGATGTACTGATCTAATTTCTTGAAGCTTTAAAATGCCATTTTAGTACACATACCTCCCAAATGGACCCTTTTTGGAAAGTAGACAATTCAAGGTATTTAGTAAGAGACATGGCAAGTTTTTTGAAGTTGTAATTTTTTGTCTCAATTTTTTGGAAAATGAAGAAATGAAATCAATTTTTTTTATACATACTGTCACCAGTGTACTACAGCATCATCATATGACTGGTGTGGCAGTAATCAGGGATACTGACTTGTGACACTATGTAAAAAAAAACAATTTTATTAATTTTTGAAACAGTTTTTCTTTTACAGTGTCACTATAGTGACTACTGCGGGGGTGGGGGGGTATGGGTGATCAGGTTTTTTTTTTACACTGTTATAGGCAATAGTTTAAGCTGTCATGAATAAAAACCCATTCATGACAGCTTAGTTACTGTTTACATGCTGTGATTGGCTATAGCTAATTGCATGGTACAGGTAGCCATATATCATGTGATAACAGTAGGCCAATCACAGCATCACAACAGTAATCAAGCTGTCATGAATGGAAATCTATTCATGTCAGTATGCTTACATATATGTCATGTTATTGCTATGACTGATCATAGCTATCACATGATACCCCGACCACTCATAGTGGCTGGGTACCGAGTGCTGTAATCTGCTGTGTCCACAGGACACAGCGGTCACTGGATTGTGCCCCTGCACATGTGCCAGGCGACATACCAGTGTGTTGCCCAGCCTGGCTGTGCTGCCTGCCAACAATAAAACTACTGTGGGTGGGTGGCAAGTGGTTAAAAAGACACATGCCTATGGCTTTTAGGTCTGTTGTTACTGCTACTTCTGTCTGTCAAAGCAGGTTTAGTAGTACCATTTTTTTTTTTTATGAATTTAATCAGATTGGGGTGATGATGCGTTATTTAAGCCAAGCTTTTTGTACAGGAAGGTGATTCCACAGCTAAATATGCAATGCCAGGGTATGCTGTCTCAAAGGCTGTCTCTTAATGGCATGTCCCAAGCTTGTAATTTAAAGGAGTTGCGTTTTTATTCAATGTCACCCTAAAAGCTGCATACAAAAAGTCCTTTTGCATTTTTATTTTCTTTTATTATGGCACTGGTACATGTCCTCTTGTGCAGTACCTGCCTTTATGTCCTTTTTTTGGCAATAGCTTGCTTATTAGCCCTACACATGACTAGAATTTAATAACAAGGTTTACTCCCCTATAGACCTCATTTGAGTTTGCTGCAAAGTTTGCAACTTCTAATTTTGAGCAAGATTTCTTTCTATTATTCTGGCAGATTTTCTCATCCCTTCTGGCAACCAGGACAAGAAGAAAAATCATAGATCATGATTTTAAACAGACTATATCTACATTCCCAAGCATTTGGCATCCAGTAGATTTAATCTCCCACTGGTGTTCAGTTGTAGGAGTTAATAAAGTGGAACTGCATTGCATCATCTGAGCACCGAAAACCAAAAATGCTATTTAATTCATTTTTAAAATTCAAAGCAATTCAAAGCAAATTCCCCCATCCATCCATGTCTCCATGCTTTATTTTGCAGAGAAATCATTTTGAAAAACACCCCCTAGCATTTCAGGCAGTTGCCATCTTGAGCAAGGTCAGATAATTCATTTTACATTTACTTCCTGGAATCCATCTAATCTTAGCTCAGGCATGATGTCATATATCCTAGGATATAGGACATCATGGAAACCAGGAAGTAATTGAAGAGATGTAAAAAAAAAGTTTAAAACAAGTAAATACAATATACTTTCCTATCTATTTACTAATGCTAGCAGCATAAGGATTAAAAATAATCCATGTTGATTGAGAGGATGAAGTTCTGACATGACAGATAGTACCTTAGTTGGGCAGTATCCAGAGCATATTGTTGTGTTGACAGCAATGCAGTAATTGCACTCTTCCTTCTCCACGTACATGGTATATTCAGTCAGCATACACAGAAAAGCAGCATGCCCATAAGCAAAGCAAAGGAGAAAGGACACCGTGAAAACAGATGTCATCCTAGAGATAAGACAAAAATGTAGTTGTAATAATTTCACAAGCATAGGATAAGGCAACCATTAAGATTTATATCAACTGAACAGTGCCTTTATTGCTGCCCTGTTGGATACTGTTTCACCATAATAATACCTGTCCCAGAGTGCCTTTAATTCTAGCATAGGTTACTTGTAGGCAGGTGCGTAAAATGTTATTTGTATTTTGCACTAATGCTTAAAGTGTGGTTACTCAGCAGTTGATGATCTGCTGTGGTGTGTCTTCTCGCTGCATGTTTCACTTCTGTTCTGGGGGACATATTATTATTATAAAGGATTTATATAGCGCCAACAATTTGCAAAGAACTTTACAAAATGAAGGTATACATTACAGTTACAATACAATTTGCTACAAGAGGAAACAGAAGGCCCTGCTCATTAGAGCTTACAATCTAGGAGGAAGGGTTGTGTGATACAAAAGGTAATAGCTGTGGGGATGAGCTGATGGAGGAAGTAAAAAAGCAGTTTACTAGTTAGATAGGCTTCTTTAGAAAGAAGGGTTTTCAGGGATTGTTTAAAGGTGGATAGATTAGAAGACAGTCAGACAGATTGGGGTAGGGAGTTCTATAGGATGCTAGAAGCTCGGGAGAAGTCCTGGAGGTGAGCATGGGAGGAGGTAACACAGGAACTAGAGAGCAGAAGGTCTTGGGAGGATTGAGGTTGATATTTTGAGACCATGTTGGTGATGTAGATGGGGGCAGAATTATTGATGGTTTTGCAAGATGTTGTTAGTATTTTTTAATTTTATTTGTTGGGTGAGTGGAAGCCAGTGGAGCAGAGAGGGGTAGCAGACATTGAATGGTTGGTAAGGTGGATGAGCCTGGCAGCAGCATTCATGATGGACTGAAGGGGGGAATAGTCTTTGTCAAGGTAAAGCAATGAGGAGGGAGTTGCTGGAGACGTTGTGGAGGTTGGGGTGGCATGATTTGGACAGGGATTGCATGTGGGCCAGAAAGGATTGTTCATAATCCAGGTTTACCCCTAGCCCCCTGGCATGCAGGGATGGGTTAATAGTTGTGCTATTGATCTTGACCGAGAAATCAGGGGAAGAGGCACATGGGGGAGGAAATATTATGAGCTCAGTTTTGGATAGATTGAGTTTTAGGAAATGGTGTGATATCCAGTCTGATATGTTTGTTAGTAAATTAGTGATACGTGAGGAATTGATGAGGTGAGCTGAGGGTTAGAGAGATTTATGTGTCATCAGCATAAAAATGGTACTGGTAACCATGAGAAGCTATTGGCTGACCCAGGGAAGAAGTGTAGATCGAGAATAGGTGAGGTCCAAGGACAGAATCTTGAGAGACCCTAACAGTAAGAGGAATAGGAGAGGAGGAAGTAGAGTTTTAAGTGACACTGCAGGTGTGGTGAGATAGGTAAAATGTGAACCAACAGAGAGTACAGTTACGGAGACCAAGGAAATAGAGTTTTTTGAGGAGGAGTGGGTGGTCAACTATGTCAAAGGCAGCAGAGAGGTCCAAGATCAAGAGTAGGGAATAGTGACCGTTGGTTTTAGCTCTTAGTAAATCATTTGTGAGTTTTTAGGATAGCAGTTTCTGTGGAGTGTTGTGGATGAAATCCAGACTGAAGGGGATCGAGAAGGTTATTTTCAATGAGATGGCAGCTCAGCCAGTTGTGGACTCGGTTCAAGGAGTTTCAAGGCAAAAGGCAGTACGGAGATGGGTCTTAGGTTGCTAAGATAGGTGGGGTCCAGTGAGGCCTTTTAAAGTACGGGGGTGACTAGTGCATGTTTTAGAGGGTTGGGGAAGATGCCAGTAGAAAGGGAGAGATTGAAGATATGAGTTAGAGTGATGGATAGAGCCAGAGTAATAATGGTGTGATCCTCCTGCACTCCTAATTAAAATACCTCCTAACCTTTGAGAGCTGCTAACACCTAATCATATACCATGTGACAAATGTAAATCATAAATACAATGGTGCAGCGCTAACTTAATTATAAAATTAAACTATAAACAATGAATGTGAAAATAAACGTGAACTTTATCTTCGGTGGGATCTTAAAGTGAAATATATTATTTATCCAATAAATTCAACCAAGTCCAAATGGGACTAGAAACAAGTGTACAATGTGTACTGATCCACTAGGGATCCCATGTGATATCAATAAGTGCTATAATTAACCAGGTCCAAAAAAGGACTGAAATAAAGAGTGTAAAGTGAACGGATCCACTCAGAGATCCAATGTGATATTCAAAAGGTGAAAAAAAACATAAAAGTAAAGAACACTATAAATAAATACAGTCCAAATGGATAAAAAATGAAAAACAGCAAAAAATAGGACTGAATAAAGGTGAAACAATGAATATAGGAAAAGTCACAAATCCCTAAGTACCACTCAAACACAGCACTCCATAGAAAACATCATCTCATAATTTTGGGTAATGATAATCCCCCCCAAAAAATGTATTATTAAATAATAAAATATGTATATAAAAAAAACAGAATAAAAAATATTAAATCCAAACTACAAAAATGTGCCAAAAAATGCAAGGTTTGAAAAAAACGCACAAAAATATGAAAAAACGTGTCAGAAAAAATATGCAGTAAATCACTAAATAAATAGGAAACACCTATGTAAAAAGTTCAAAGGTGCATAAACGCGAAGTAAATCCAATGACTTTTCCAAACGTGCAAGTGATAAAGTGGATGTGCGTGCCAACCAATGCAAAAGATATCCCAAAACGGCTGAAATGCCCCCTGACCTCCTTGCAGCGACCCAAAGGGGTCAAAACGCCTGTAGGATCACAAAAAAGATCCTCCACGATAAGAAACTCCTCTGCGGATGATATCCACTCAAAGCGATGATATTTCCTTCAATAATATGCGTTTTTGCAGGGTCCTCTCCAGGTAAGTATAGATGTAATACAGCCAACTCACATTAAAAGACATAAAGAAGATCTTCCATAGTGTAAAACCTTTTTTAATCTGTTATAAATTTTAATAAAATCCAAAATTCCTACTCACATTTTCACAATAATGTATAGCCATTTAAAACCACATGCTATTGGTGTGCTTGCATGAGTTTTGGTGTAGCAAGATGGCGTCCACGCCGGAAATACGCCTCAGCTGAGGAAGTCACGTGATAACAGGACGTAACACGTAGGAACGTGTGGTGACGTATTTCCGGCATGGACGCCATCTTGCTACACCAAAACCCATGCAAGTACACCCATAGCATGTGGGGTTTTTTGGATTTGGATTTTATTAAAATTTATAACAGATTAAAAAAGGTTTTACACTATGGAAGATCTTTATGTCTTTTAATGAGAGTTGGCTGTATTACACCTATACTTACCTGGAAGGGACCCTGTTATCGTAAATACATATAATTGAAGGGGATATCATCGCTTTGAGTGGATATCATCCGCAGAGGAGTTTCTTATCGCGGAGGATCTTTTTTGTGATCCTACAGGCATTTTGGCCCGTTTGGGTCGCTGCAAGGAGGTGAGGGGGCATTTCAGCCGTTTTGGGATATCTTTCGCATTGGTTGGCATGCACATCCACTTTATCACTTGCACGTTTGGAAAAGTCATTGGATCACTTGGCGTTTATGCACCTTTGAACTTTTTACATATGTGTTTCCTATTTATTTAGTGATTTATTATATATATATTTTTTTCTGACACTTTTTTTATCTTTTTGTGTGTTTTTTTCAAACCTTGCATTTTTTGGCGCATTTTTGTAGTTTAAATTTAATATTTTTTATTTTTTATTCTGTTTTTTTTTAATATATATTTTACTATTTGATAATAATTTTTTTGGGGGGATTATCATTATCCAAAATTATGAGATAATAATGTTTTCTATGGAGTGCTGTGTTTGAGTGGTACTTAGGGATTTGTGACACTTTTATATTCATTATTTCTCCTTTATTCAGTCCTATTTTTTGCTGTTTTTTCACATTTATCCAGTCCCATTTGGACTGTATTTATTTATAGTGTTCTTTACTTTTATGGTCTTTTTCACCTTTTGAATATCACATTAGATCCCTGAGTGGATCCATTCACGTTACACACTTTATTTCAATCCTTTTTTTTGTACCTGGTTGATTATAGCACTTATTGATATCACATGGGATCCCTAGTGGATCAGTACACATTGTACACTTGTTTCTAGTCCCATTTGGACTTGGTTGAATTTATTGGATAAATAATATATTTCACTTTAAGATCCCACCGAGGATAAAGTTCACGTTTATTTTCACATTCATTGTTTATTGTTTATAGTTTAATTTTATAATTAAGTTAGCGCTGCACCATTGTATTTATGATAGAGCCAGAAGGTGACCATAGTATTTGCGAGGGTCCAGGGGACAGGTGGTTAGGTGGGCAGTGAGTGAGTTAGTGGGTGAAGGTAATGAAGGACAAAGTTGAGAGTTAAAGGTAGAAAAGAGTTGATGGGGATTGCGTGAGAGGGTGTTAATGAGTGATAAAATAGGTCTGTTTGGCAGTGTGGAGACAGGAATTGTATTTTTGAAGGGCAGATTTATATTAGTCAAAGTCTTGATAGGTCTTATTCTTAAGCCGTAAATGCTCAAGAGCATGGCTACGTTTTTTTGAGGCATCTGGTACTGTCTGTTTGCCAGGGCTGTAGTGGTCAGGGTCTAATTCTGTGTGTAGTGAGGTGGGCCAATGTTTCCAGGGTGGATGACAGTGAACTGTTGTAGACAGAAGTGGCCAGGTTGGGGTAGGACAGGGCTCATAGAGACAATCTGTTGCAGAAAAAAGAAGAGAAGGGTTAAGATGGTGAAGGTTTCCAAGAGTAACTGTTCGGTAATTGGAAGACAAAGAGAAGGAAGCCAAAGAGAGAGAGAGTGAAGCAAATAAGGGAGTGATCAGAGAGAGGAAAATAAAAGTTGGTGAGGTTGCAAGGAGTGCATACAGTAGGTAGAAGAATACAAGGTCAAGGCAGTTACCATTAGAGTGAGTAGAAGCATGTGTCCATTG